AAACACGTCGGTCTATATATAGGGTGTACAGATGAGATCGAAAATATTAAAAGCTTCTAGTATTTTAGGTTACGCACCTATCGCAGTGAGCGTTCGTTGACTTTCGTCACGTTATACCTCCCACCCTAAACCAAAGATTTTATTTTTTATTTTAAACATGATTTGCAAGCGCGATTTGAGCGCGGATCGTCGTCCGTTGATTTTATTGTTTATCTAACAGGTTCGTTTTCCACAGATCTTATTTCCAGTTATTTTCCAAAATCCTATGGACTTGACACATTCGTAACGTTATAGAATATCATGAGTTCCCTGCACCACCAGTTAAACACTAATACCTGTACTTGGACTTGTAAACTGTACGTATATCCATGTTTTAGTGCAGAATATATAATCTAACCATCTCTGATGTCTTGATTCCAGGGTGTGATGGTCGGTATGGGCCAGAAAGACAGCTACGTTGGTGATGAAGCCCAGAGCAAGAGGGGTGATCAAATTTTACACGAATCTTGAAATGCGACGTAATTACTGTATCTGTAAAATTATAGACCAAGTAGAAGGATGTTGTCACAAATATATGTGGAACTAAAAGAACGTTCTTGGTACGAGACACACGGAAAGGTTTACAAGAAAATCTAAAAGTTATTCGTCAACCAGTCAGTGTAAAGTTGTCCGAACTTTAGTTTGTATGTAAATTACCTTCTGTTCTCAGTCTTGCGTACAGCCTTGTGTACCGTGACAAATAACCCTCAACAATCAGTGCACAGTGTTCCAACCGGTGACCAGACCGTGGGGTACAATGGGTAGTGACTCTCTGGGGAAACGGGTGGTGGGGTCCCTTACTTTGGAGGTTAGTCCCCCTTTCTCCAGTGCTGACCCTCAAAGACGTATTGTTTTTTGTTCTTTTTTTTAATTTTGTCCTGGTTCTATAAAAATCCGACTTTCGATGTTTGTTTGGGGTCTGTATTAAAATGTATGTCTGCTTTGATGTTGGTACAAAATTCATACCGCGGTTGGTGACCCGGTCGGAAGTGTCTCCGGCTTATGCGGACAGGACCTTGTTAGCGTGCCAATTGTAAACCTTAGTACACGACTTGTTACGTCAATTGTTTGTAACCTTACTGAGTTTTCTTTTTTGTTTTTACATGTAAAAAAAAAATTCAGGGGTCTACGGTTGACGTCTTGGGACCCACTAAAAGAAAAATTGGATCGGTTTGTAATGACAGAGGAAGTAGCAAGGTCAAATTTTAGGACTCAGTTCGCGGTTTTATTGACTTCGGTACGGTTACTCAACCCAGGCAGATCCGAGACGCGGACTCACAGGCAGTACTCTTTTACCACACACCACCAACAAAGAGACGTGTCTCGACTTCAACAACCCGCAAGACCACCCCTCCCCCTCCTCCTTTTCAGACAAAAAAATCTTCGTAAATGCCACCTATGCTACCTCCCCGGGCCTGAGTAGTATGAGGACGAAAACGACTAGGTGTAGACGACCTTCCACCTGTCTCTCGTCCTACCCGGAGGGCTCAGGTCTGTCTCATTAAAATGCGAGACCACCCCGTTACTTAGACGCTCTCTCTGTTCCCCTTTTTTAGCGCTCTACGACTCTGGGTGTAAAGAAAAACCGTAAGATAGACTGGAAGTTGTCCGTCATTACAGAGACGCCGACCCGGTTCTCGAGTCGAGTGGAAACTAGAAGTAGCCACCTACCCCGGTCCCGCCACTAGAGGAAGACGTAGGACAGCGCTATGACCCCATGTACCACCATGGACAGCCTGTTCGTGCACACCCCGCATCTCTAGGAAATGCTCTATAGCTGCAGTGTGAAGACTATGGCAACATCCACCAGGAGCACTAAGGCGTTCTGAGGTATGATCCGTCTTAGTATAGACCAATCAGTTCAATATTCGGCTCCTATGATCTTCCCTAAAAAGAAATAAAATCCCTACATCACCGTCCAATTAAAATTCAACCACTGGTGGCTCCTTCCTACCCGACCTTCTTCGGAAGACCCTGTTGCCTTTGGAGTAAGGCAAAGGCTACCACTACCTGACTGACAGCCTTCGAGACAATCGAGAAGAGGTCCCTCCTCACTCCTTCCGTCGCCACGGGTAGAGGGACAGCTTCAGGGTCCCGCTGCATCGTTTCGAAGAGGGAACTACAGTGGTGCTAAAGGGAGAAGTCGACACACACCACTTCCTCATCGGTGCGACGGACAGCCTAGAGTACTCCATCATGACACTTCCAGCGCGGTCGTTTTAAGAGTCTGCCTCCTACCGCACCCGTCCGCATTGGGGAGTATCTACCCGTAGACACACCAGTTGTAGTGGCCTTAGGTACTGCTCATGGTCACCCAGCTGGGCTCCGCATGTCCCTGTGACGTGTCGGACTACCGTTTGCATGTTACGCCCCCCACACTTCCAGAGCATTGTTCTAGACATCTTACTTTTCTCTTTGTACAATTATTATAGTTGTGTTATTTTTCATGAATTTGAAGACACCGATGACGTGAGGGTACATGTATAACTAACACACTACCGATTTAATTTCCAATATCTCTTTTGTTTCACGTCTTTCAGTAGTAAGGAAGTGTGAACACGTACAGTCTACAATTTCATCACGCTAAATTATTGAGCGATTGTGTTCACGTCTTATTCCGGGTGTCAGTCTCTCTGACAACTACTATCTAGTAGATATCCTCTTCTTCAGGACCTCCTCTCCCCTCCTTCCTCGTCCACTCTTACCTACCTCTCCTTTGGGGTCCTTCTTTACTCCGATGGTCAATTTATCAGATTATTGTGACCCTTCGCGATTCATACGATGTAAACACACACGATTTTCAATTCCACCACATGGACCCAGTAGAGAGGACAACCGAAACCCCAAGTCCCCCGTGAGACACTCGGTCCTGCCCACGAGAGAGCGCCCGTTGAGAGTCGAGCAACATCTACCCTCCACAACTACGGTCTAAATAAGGGGTACAGTAGGGGTCAATCAGGTATGCCGGCACCGACCGTACCCCATGAAGTCTTCCA